ATTTTTAGTACTTGTTTCGATTTTTATTATTTTTGTATGATTTTATTATTAATTAAAACATTTCACAAGCTACAAGAGTATATTTGTCCAAACACACATAAATAGTCCTATTAGGCTGATTGGAGTGGTGAGGTATTAGGAGTCCAAAATGTTAAAATGGCATTTTTGGACTCCTAATTTCATACATTGGTGGGTTATGAAGGGTAGTAAAAATGGAGAAGGGGATGAAAGGATTTAAATTTGGAAGGTGTATTGTCAGCCAAAAAAAAATGAAAGGAAATTAAAATGAGGGAAGGGGCTAGCACGCAGAGTCATACGCTGCTTGGAAAGAAAACATGCTTCCATCATGGATTCATGTTGATGTCATTATTACCCCTAATTATTTCAAACTCTTATAACTTTTGTGTTTGTTTTTCAATGCTTTCAAGAAATATATCAAAATTCATGAATTTTTAAGATCTTTCATATGACACCAATATGTAATATATAAAATGAAAAAAAGTGAAGTTTTAGCTGTTGAACTTTTCTTGAGCCCAAAAATATGAAACACAAAATTTTCATTGATAGAGCCTTAAAAAATAATTGAATATTTTATAATCAAACTTTACTTGAACTAAGTTCATTTTTTTGTTAATAAAAAAACATTAAAAAATAATTAATGAGATTTATTTATTTTTACATCAAATGTGTATTTTTTGTTTCATAATTATTCAAGGAAAAAATTAAAAGTAAAATATTAATTATAATAATTTAGTTAATGTTTTACTAAATTGATATGCAAAAAATACGCAGAGTGTATTTTATTGACGGTGCACGGATGCAGGGAAAAACAGTATTGACGGAGTCTAAACACTGTTTTCAGGACAGAGTCCAAATTTAACAATATAGACTCTTAACCACTACAAATGGTCTTAAGGGGATTTAAAAAATGTAGTCCTATTTGTGCAATTTTGCTACTTTTTAGTCCTATTTAGGGAATTGACTCATTTCAAAACTACCATATTACATTAGATTCACATATTGAAGTTCACAGGAGTTGATTATGGATATAATTTAATATGTTTTTGTAAAAGAAAAATAAGAAAAAAGAAAGTGAATTAGAAGATATGAACCAGAAATCACAATGATTATTGTGAGGCTCCTAATACTGAGTAGCATACGTCTAATGCTCATTAAATGTGTACTAATGCTCATCTAACAAAACCCACGATTTTCACTGAATTTACGAAAATGTCACCGTTTTTTAGTTGTAGTTTCAACGTTCTTGTTGTAACACGAGGTGCTCATTATTAGACTCTTAATACTCATTAAAATTGGATTATTGCTCCTTAACAGTACACCATTACTCATTTAATAGAAACCTCGATTTTCACATTATATTACCCAAAATGCCACCGGCTGTACAGTGGACGGATCCATAAATTTCCGCTTAACAACCACATATATTCCTCCTCCGTTATTATAGGCTTATAGCTAGTTGTTTTGAATTGTTCACATCTGTTTATCCTATTCTGATGTAAAAGTAGTTGGGGTAGTGCCTTGTATTTAGGAATTGTTGTTGCTCTCTTTGTTGTATAAATTCAACTGTAAATGGTGTACTGAAAACACAATCAAATATACAACTTCGTATGATCGTATCTATTCTCTTTACCGCTATATACTATTTAAACCAATTTTTGCACAATCATTTTCCAGCATCATTGTCATTGAGATCGAACTTCTCACATTTACTCCCTCCGTCCCCTTTTAAATGTCCCGTTTTACCATATTGGGATGTCCCTATTTAAATGTCCCATACCTTATTTGGTAAAGTTTGTGTGGCTCAAAATCATTCTTACTTTATTCTTACTTTATCAATTAATATCAACCACACAAACCCACTTTTCTTAAAACCCGTGCCACCCTCCTCCGGGTCATTTAAAAGGGGACGGAGGGAGTATTTCGTAGTTGTTTTTCCCTATGGTAACACAATGTTCTCCTACCTGGATTTTGCAAATGATTTTAGTTTCCAATTACCTATTAACTCTTTATGTATCCATAAAGACATAGAGTGACAAATAAGAGTAGAGAAACAAGCAACGGAAAAAAGGAGATGCAACGTGATAAAGGAGAAATGAGGGGTTTGAAGTCATGAAGGGAAGAGAGAAGCAAATAGAATATTGAAATAGATCAGATGTCATTAAACATCAATGACAGTTTAGGTGACTTGGTAAGAGAATACTAATTTTCAAAATGGAATAATTGGATGTTTGTTTACTATTCGTATGCTTGATAGCATGCTTTTAGTACGATGGCACAATCCCCAAATTGATTAAGTGATTTGATTATACTATAAAAGCTTAATTGATAGTGATGAAAGATGGAAGCTATAGTTACCTATAACAGAGAGAAGAAGTGTGAGTAAAAATAGAAGGGGAAAGATGCATAAATATTTTGGCAAAATAACAATACAAAAATTTCGACCCCTTTTCAAAAGGAGAATGTTGCTATTTATAGTCAGAAGGCTACACTCCAAGTAACTTGTGGTTTGATGGCATCATTGTGGACAGGGCCGGCCCAGGGCATGGCTGCCCAGTGCAACTAGGGATGGCAATGGGGCGGGTTTGGGGCGGGGGTACACTCCCCCATCCCCCGCCCCATGTCTAAAAAGCCCCCTCATCCCTGCCCCATCCCCCGTTACTCTCAGACCCGCCCCATCCCCACCCCACTCCGTTGTCCCCACGGGTGCCCCCTTATAGATTTAATTTATCGTATTTGCATATACTTTTAATCCATTATAAAAATATATGGTGCAATTCCAGTGAGAATGATGCTTAACGTGAAAATGTGAGAATACTCACATTTAATCCAATGTGATACACAATAGAGCCCTTCTAGTGCACATATTGACTTTGCTCAATTCAAGCTAATATAAATAATCACGGTGACACTTTTGTAGATATTATGTTTGATGCGAAAAATTGCATTGTGCGAGCCTCATTGTGCGTCACATTGGGGGTAAATGTGGTGTTCCCACATTCTCACGTTAAGCATTGTTCTAATTTGATCCTAAATATATATATATATATATATATATATATATATATATATATATATATATATATATATATATATATATATATATCTACACACACAAACACACACATACATATATGCAACACTGAAGTATTGTGTTTGTTAAAAGTTTAGACCACCGATTTTAATAATTCTTCAATTTGAATGAGTTTTGTGAATTGGAGAAAGTTAAAGTAAAAATATAAGTAAACATATTATCATCATGTACGTCGTTCCAAATTTTTTAACAATTATAAAACAATTAATTACATGTTACATATAAATGTAGGTGTGTTTATTTACTCACTTTCTCACTCTTAAAACTCATACGGAGTATAACATTTATGATAAATATTTTTAGAGAAATTACCCCCCCTATGACTAAAACTTCCATGTTTTCTCATAATATGACTCCCCAGTTTTTTTTCCTAAAATGGGTTTGATATTCACCCTATTCGTACGACTATAGTGGCCTTTTTTATTTTATTTCCTTTGCTACCCTTACAAGGCAGTTATGGTACGTGTATCACCAATCTGCGTCTTATGGTTTTTCTTCCCATATAACCGCTACCCATTTAATGTTTCCGTTAAAATAGGTAAGTAAATAATAGTCTACACGTATCTTAACCTCTCTTTGTATATCGGCCGCGGTTTTCTTGGTCTCAATCACCACATCGTTCAAGCTTCATCGTACTGGATTTCATGGAAGTTCTCTGCGTTTCACAGCAACCACCGAACATACGGGTGTTGACGAAGGTACATGGGGAGTGGGATAGTAACCTTCAGTTTCATAGTTTATGTTCCATTCCCATTGATATTCCGTTATCATGTTCATTTCACAATTTCAAAGACATTTTAAACGCTTCATTGGGTTTGAAGTACACAGATGAACATATTAGGATTTCATATGTCTTTGAAATGTGTCCTCCCCCTCTTGTTATTAATGATGATGTGAGCTTGATGTTCTATTTGCAAATGAAGTTCATTCAGTCAGACGTGAATAAACTTCCTTTGTGCATTGAGGTACTGCAACGAGTTCAAGGTATAAGTTTCACTCTGTCCTTTGTTTTATACATTCTGGTTCATACATTCGTTTTATAGATGTGAAGTAAGCTTTGAATGCTATTGATGATATTTTTTGTTAAATTTACGAAGGATTTGTGAATGATGTGTCAACTGATTGTACAACTCCGCTTTGTGATGATGGACATTTGGAAGTCATCAATGAAAGTGAACCGGCAGGCGGACCAAACGAAACAACTGCCGGGGGTCATATGGTGATGTAAGCATTGAATGCAGTGATGTAAGCCCTTTGTCGTTTGCGGATGATATGATGAATGATGATTCGCCAAGCTCATTTGAAGTTCCTCTCCCGTCTTTTGTGTCCCACTTTGACCCTACTCGTCTTGCTCTCGACGCTATTTATGAAAGCAAGAAGGATTTTGATTTTAATTTGAAGATGTTTGCAATCACCAATTTTTTTCAATACAGAACACTGACATCATCTCCTAAAGTTTTACATGTTATTTGCATCGATCCAGAATGCAAATGGGCTGCCCGTGCTGTGCGCGTTGATGAAAGTGGACTGTTTCAAGTGCGAAGGTTAGCTATAGCTCTTTATAATGTTGATCTTCACAAGGTTTTTCATTAATGAGTGCTTCTGCCCACCCCTTTTATATTTTTTAATTCATATTACAATTCTCACGTGTCTTCCCTATAATTTTTCAGATTTGATAACAAGCACACATGTTCAATTGATGTTAGACAAGCCGATAGTCGTCAGGCATCTGCAGCTCTTATTGCCGAACTCATTAAACATGAATTTGATGACACGACGAAAAAAGTGTACACACCCCATACGATTATGGCAGACATGCAAAGAATTCATGGAATTGTCATGTCTTATAAAAAAGCGTGGCATGCAAGGGAAATTGCAATTCGATTGGCTCGGGGATCTGAAAAGGACTCTTACAGTAGGCTGCCATCTTTGTGCCATATGCTGGACCAAGCAAACCCAGGTTCTATCGTCACTCATTCTTCCAATTCAAATGGAGAATTTGAGTATTTTTTTATGTCCCTTGAACCATGGAGGGCTGGATGGGAACATTGCATCCCAGTAATCATTGTTGACGGTTCGTTTATAAAATCTTATTACAAGGGGACACTATTAACAGCATGCACTCAAGATGCAAACAAGCAAATTTTTCCACTTGCATTTGCTATCTGTAGTGTTGAAAATACGGTGAACTGGACATGGTTCTTTAATATGTTGAAAAAGTCTCTTAAACATAGGGATGACTTATATGTCGTGTCAGATCGCCATGAGGGAATATTAAATGCTGTGCATTCCGTGTTTCCACATGCGGAACATGGTTTTTGTGTTTACCATATTTTAGGAAATATAAAATCCAAATTTCATGGATCTGCATGTTTGGTTTCTTGGAAGTTCTTACAGGCAGCCCGTGCGGGTTCGGTGTACGAATGCGAACAATATCTCTCCATGCTTGATTATGATGACCCTCGTATTCGATCATACTTGGAACGAATTGGTAATGACAAGTGGTCTCGTGCATATGCTAGCCGCAATAGATATTCAGTCATGATGTCCAATAATGCAGAGTCTTTGAATGCTGTTTGTGTCACTGCGCGTGAGTATCCAATTTGCAAGTTGATAGAATTTATCGTCGGCACAATGCAGAAATGGTTTTGTGATCGTAGAGAAGCTGCGGCAGCTAATGAATCTCGGTTATCTTCTCATTTTGAATCCCAGCTGCTACTGTCTCAATCAAACGCAGCTTTAATGCAGGTCATTCAATGCACTGACTGCATCTAACATTTTGTATTTTTTTCTTTCGCATATTTTTATACGGAGTATATTTTTTGTTAACTCTTCAAACATTGTGTTTACAGGTTAGGCCAACATGCAATTTTGAATCTGAGGTTTTTGACAGAAAAGGGAGGTCATATGTTGTCAATTTACGAGCAGGAACTTGTTCTTGTCGTGAATTTCAACTTGATGGCTTCATATGTGTTCACGCTGTCGCTGCACTACGATCTCGCCCTGGTCTTTCTTGTTATGACTATATTCCTCAGTATTATACTAATCATAATTGGATTGCAGCTTACCAGGGTATTATTCATCCAATTGGTAGTGCCGACGGTTGGGTTGTTCCACCTGGTATATCCGAAACCATTTGCAAGCCTCCCTCATGTTCCAAGCGCCCACCTGGAAGACCCAAGAAGCGACGAATACCATCCATTGGTGAACATGTGAGGAAACAAAAGTGTTCTCGTTGCTCAATGGTGGGTCACAACAAAAAGACATGCAGAAACCCAATCTCGCGTTGCTAATTTTATTTTATTTAGTGTTTACTTTATAATGACATTGAGTGTATTCTTGCCTACACTGTTATTTGTTTGACATTCAGTCTCGTTTTTTATATTGAAACTTTGGGCGCAGTATGCTATTATTACATTTGATCACAATATTTATACTGAATTATATATGAATTGTGAGTATATAGCATTACTGTTTTCAGTATTAATCAGCATTCTTTACAAATGTTAAGGCGTAAAATCCTGCGAAAGAAATACTATAGATTTTTTCATCATGTGATCCTTACATAACTTCGATGTACAGTCAGGTTACTTGGTACAGTTATCCCCATTTTTCCAATTAATCTTCCTAATTTATGTGCATTACATTTGTCCATTACTCCATTACTTCTACGAATTAAATGTTGAATAAAATACAATGAATATATTTTACACTACGGACCTCATTTTTCTGTTTCAATTAATCTTTTTATAACAAAATCTCAAAAACTCAATCAATGAATAACCGTCAACTTGATTTTATGTATCACCAAATAAGGTAGATTCAGTCAAAGTATACATAAGTCCAGAATTTATTCAATTGACAGCATTCTTTATGGTGATGTGGTATTCAAATGATCTCATTATGCTTTACACTAAATCACAGCATTATATCTCCTCATTAAATATACGGAATTACGGATTATATGATACATAAAATACAATCACTGCATGTTCAAATCCGGAACTCACTTTTCCATCCTTCAATTTTTGCGGTTAATCCTGTCATTAATTTAATGCATTAAATGCAGCAAACAGTAATGATTTTCAACGAGTTCAATTCAGTTTAGTTGATAACTGAATAAACTTCATAACTTCCCCCATGCTTGCTGCTTCACAGAATGACTTTACATCCACCCAACATTTACAAACACACTACATATTTAACATCAATTAATACATAACATACCAAACATTTAAGGTTTTTATCAAAGCATTGCATTACATAACACACAAAACATACGCCCAAATGTCCAATAATTCCTTATCTCACCTGTCAAACATTTAATCTTAAAGTACCATTCAACAATCTCATAATCTGACCTTACTAAACCAATCCATTCATCAAAACAGTCATAATAGTAAACCCAACATATCACAAAACACAAAGATACTTGGCGTCTACACAAATTTAAGTTTCTTTCTAAATCCAAAACGACAATACTGCAGTTTCTCTTAACATTTCAATCCACTCCATATAACTGAACCAGTCCAAAGTATTGGAACAGGTCTATGACCATCTTCTTGCGATAATGCCAGGTTTCACTTGCATCCACTTCTGTAGCTAGTCTCCCGGAGATTAAATATTCCGCTATTTTCAGCACAAATAAACCGCAACTATGTCTGCATAAAATATTGAATTGTAATCATTTTCAAAAATTAGTTTATAAAATTATATTTTTGTTTTAATGCACTTACCCGTCAGTTTGCTGAGGGCACTCACGAACAAACTGAATTTCCAATTTTCCTTCGCCAATGGGCTCTTCCCCACGTTCAGTATACACCCCCATGCAATCCATCAACCTGCCTAGGTGCATCTCCATGCAAGGTAAAAACTCCTTGACTCTTCTGCATGGTTGTCCACTACAATTCAAAGAATCATAAATTATGATCCTCTTTTCCCCCACGTCAAGAACTAGTAGAATCCAGTGTTTCCCAATATTAAGGTGCATATAAACGTGGTCACACTGTGCCCATCGTTTCCCGCATTCCACATTTCTGCCATGTATTGCACAGGTTACACTCTTGTTACGAAGGCACTCCTCCATTGAAGTTTCATTCTTCAAAATGAGATCATGATGGCGTTTCATCAATGCCATGAAATACGAATCCGCTGTCGTGAAACTCTGCTTGAATCCGTATTCTCTTGCTTTCACCCGCAAGTAGTACATCATCACGTCTATGTGCTGCCATGAAAAATTCATAAATGGTCTGTTAACTTTTTACAATTCTATATACAAATAAGGGATAACTATAATATATTCAACTTACTGAGTCTGTTATCCAGTTGTCTTCAAACCACAACGCATAGTACCATGACTTGCTTGTCAGTCTGTCATCATTCCAAAAGTCTTTTCCGTTTCGCAATTTTATTGTTTCATCCCTTGCTCTATACTTCTTGCCCTCAGCTTTCTTGTGATATTTCAGGAGTCCATGACTCATAAACTCCACTACTATCTTCTCTGCCTCAGAACTTGCCTCGTCTTTCAGGTTCAAACTCATAGGACGACTCAACACAATCTCTTTCCCTTCAAGCCTGCCTTCCGTCTTTCTCTTCTTGTTATTAATTGGCCCGGATAATGTCAATCTGTCAGGTACTTTCGTTCCTCTCCTAGGCCGTTTCCCTATCTCTTCGCCCAACTCCGTTTTTCCCTGAAATTTTTAAACAAAACAGTAAATGTAATTATGCAATGCATTAATATTAAAAAACTTTGTTTATTTTCAATTTCTTAACCTCATTTTTCTGTTCTTCTTCTTCTTCGACTTCATCTTCAACCATTTTCCCATTTTTTACTTCATCCAAAACATAAGTTTCTCCATCCCTTAAACCCTCACTTGTACTTCCCTTTTCAATGCTCTGCTTCAAATTCAGCTGTGCCACAATGTTATCCACTTCTGTAACCAGCCCTGCGTACTTATTGGGTCATCAAATCCGTCATTCCAGTTCGTACCAACCTGCACTGGAATTTCATCCACTTGCACCAAACCGTCATCCGCCACACCTGATTGATGTTCTTCAACGTATTCTGTGGACATATTCCCATCTTCCTTTACTTGAGCTTCATCGTTCAACCCCTCGAACTCCGGTGCAAGGTCAAATGATGGCACATCACGATCCTTCGCCTCCCGTTTCTTTCTTACAAAGTTGAACTTTCTGATCACACCACCCTTCCCTTTCTTGACATTAACAAGTAATTTCCTAATCATGCTAGCTTGCTTAACCTGTAAATCACACAATTTTTTATTGTGTGCTCCAATCTGTTAATCCTCTCACCTTGCTCTCTCACAGCATTCAATAACCCTTCACTCACAGCAGCCATACTTTGCATGCCCTCCTCTGATTCTTCGAGTTCATCACCCACGTCTCTGCTTTTTCTTCCACCCTTTCTGCGTTTCTTCATACTACGAGAACCTTCACCGCTTGAAACAGTTCTTCTCTTACTCACTGGCAATGCACTTACTTTTTCAGTTCCTATAATCTTCAATGCATTTGCTAAACGTTCTGATTGTAACTCCAATTCTGTAGCTTCCATTTCTTCCCATTCAAACTGTCACATTCATAAATTTATTCACGTTTACTATTATCAAACATCAATGAAAAACATAAAAAATGCATTTACATTAAATTATGTTTCATTTTATTTTACATCATACCTCCAGATTACCAAAAACACGCTCGTTAAGCAAATGCGATGATGTTCTGGAAGGAGCTGACCAATTCAGTATTCTTGGCATATAACTGCATGGCTTTCTAATGCACACCCTTGCTCTTCTCAGTTCTGGAAATGTCTCAAACGCCCATATCTGAAGAGCAAATATGTAGCCTGGAAATGTGGGTTTGTTCTTCTTCCCTTCAGCTACTAATGCAGCGCACTTTGGAAGCTTTTCCACCAAATCGGCCCACACTACATCACCCCATGGATACCTATTGAATTCTTCAATGTTATCTACCAGGTTGAGGTATGCCGTGGGGATCTTGATTGTTGGTTGGTTGCCAAGAATGTAGTTTCCCAATACATGCACCAAACCAAGTTTCACAGCATCCAATTTATCAAGCTCTATCTCTGCTCTGGTATTACTGAGTGACTCAAAAACTTGCCTCAAGTCTGACCGATCAATACTCCTCTTCCCATTGAAGAATTTCTGCCACAGTTCACCCGGTTTGTGAGCAGTTAATGATGGGGTATTAACCGCGAACTCAAACCCGGTAATCAATGCAAAGTCCTCCTTCTTCATTGTAATCAGTTTCTTGCCTATTTGAAACTGAATAGCTCTCTGGATGTCAGCTTCTTTCAACGGCTCCACATAGTTTCCTACTAGCATGCAAATCAGTTGAGCACTCACCCAGGGCATATTTCCTACATCAAGTAAATACCCAAATACAGTGTTCCTGAACTCCTTCAATTCGTCTTCAGTCAACACGCTTCGTATACTCTCGACAGCTTTAACTGGATTGCAAAATGAATTGATCGTCATGTCCAAATTCCCTTTTAATTTATCTGCACTACAATAGCGCTTATATTCCTGTTACACAAAAACACATTTTCATTACATTATACTGCCATTGCAAAGCATGAACAAAACAAGCATTTTTTTACTAGTATTGGTTTGAAGTTTATATTGTACAACACAGATTGGACATAAATTTCAGTACTATTATTCTTCATGTCTAGTCAACCTCATATCATATGTTTTCAATTTTACTATGCACATACATGTCACCGCCTATGTTTTCAATTCTACTATGCACATCAAATGGATAATGCAATTCTATACACGTTATGTAGTCACCACAATGCCCTATCTATTACTAAATCTATGCATTATGAGACTCGTCGCATTCAAAGCCCAGAATGAATTCACCAACTGTACATACAATGCATTCACCTTGAACAACCACAATTCACACTCTACTGCCATTTGTCAATGCATACTACAGAAATCACATCCCCATACCCTAATATACTCTTAAAGAATCACTGCATAACATTTAATCCACATTATCACTTCTACAACAAATGCATTTTTCCAACATCTGATACTCTAAAACGAACACATGTCACCAAAAATACACATTACGCCTATACGTATTTCAAAACCAACAATCACTTCACCATATATATGTATAATGCATTCACCTTGAACACCCACAACATCACACTTTACTCGTATTTCTCAATGCACAATGAATAAATCACATCCCCATACCCTAATACACCCCAAAAGCATTATTCAATTACATTTAATTCACCCAATCAATTCTGCAACAAATGCTCTTTTCCACCATGTTAACTCCAAAACAAACACACCTCAGCACAAACACACGTTAAGGCTATACATGCATTCAATGATACCATCCAATAGTACTAAATAAACTCAAAAAAACAAATGTTACAGGTTTTAAGACATACAACTTGTGCCTCCATTCACTGCTATTTTCAACGAACCAAAAAAAACCCAGCCACAGTGTATCCAAAATCAAAGAAATCAAATTCGAGAACTCACCTTCCCATCGATTGTGACTACTTCGTAATCTGAGCCTCCGTTGTTTCCCTTCGATTTCGTATTCTTCTTCGCCATTGTTCTTCTCCGGAAAGCCTCTCTTGGAGGTCTCTCTGAACTGCCTCTTTTTTCTTCGTCTCCCGATTTCTCATTGAAATTGATTAGGTCTTGTATTTTAATTCTTTCCATATTTCAACTCCTAAGAAGTCGCGCCTATAATCACTACCTTCTCTGAATTGCAGTTGCATTCAGATTCTTTCCAAATCTGCCGCCTCCTATCCCCCAATAGACGGTCGAATAATGCTGCATTAATTCGAGGTTTTTTTGGTCTTTCACAGCTTCCAATTTCCGTCCCTTTTAATTTTTATATTCATTTTAGGTCATACGGATGAGAAAAAACTCCACTAGTCATAATCTAGTAATTCGTACCAGTTTTAGTAATATCCCAGTATTTATCCCATATTTTTAATCATTACTAGCTTATTACCAATTCTAATATAATATGTATTAATTCACTAACCATGACTAAAAGGTATACAATTATGTATCTCTATACGTATATGTATATGTATATGCATTTGTTATATACAACATATAATTTAATTTAATATGTTTGTACATTATTTATATGTGTGTGTGTGTGTGTATATATATATATATATATATGTTTGAGCATATATTTATAACGGGGGGGCGGGGCGGGGACGGGGCGGGTGTAGCAAAATCCGTCCCCCGCCCCATATTTTAACAGGGTAAAAATATCTCACCCATCCCCGCCCCCGCCCCACTCCAAGCCCCGCCCCATCCTTCCCCCACGGGGCGGTTCCCCACGGGTCCCCGCCTCCATTGCCATCCTTAAGTGCAACCGCACACACTACTAGAATTTTCCTTATTTGCTGCTACCCATTTGCTGCGGTTCTCAGTTAAAACGCAGCAAATAGATGAAAATTATAGGTATTTGCTGCGGGCGTTGTAGAACCGCAGCAATAAGTTAGAAAATTTGGAACGTTTTGCTGCGGTCGGAGACAAACCGCAACAAATAGGTATAATGTTTTAAATTTTCTTTTTTTATTTCGGGCTCGTTTGCATCTGGTGTAGGTTAATCGTCGTGAAAGGTAATTTTTTCCCATCTACTTGTTGCGGTTATACGTCAACCGCAGCAAATAGACCTCCAAAATTTTGAAATCCCTAATATCCTTCTCCTAATATCCTTCTTCTCCAATCGTCCAAACATTCCCAAACCCCAGCCCCCCTCCCAGCCTGCGACCTTGGCGCCGCATCAAACCAAGCTCCTCGACCTGTGACTCCAGCCACCTGTTCACCTACGGACAGCTCCTCGACGACGGACAGGGCTTCGCCGAAGGCCAGGGACTCGCCCAAACCCTACCATGTCACGCCTCCATCTCGCACCGCCATGGCCTCGCAACCCTGCCATCTCGAGCCTTCACCTATTAACACAACCCCGCACCCCCGCCGCCTCGAGCCTCCAGCCCCCCACCTAGTAACACCACCTCGCACCTCCGCCTAGCAAAGCGGCCTCCAACTTCGCCTAGAATAGTCGTTGTTTCCTATAATTATTCTCCTCTTTCAAGATAAGGTATTTATCTTTTATCTACTATACTTTTTGTTTTGTTGATAAAATTCAGTGACTTTTTTATCTTCAAAGTCCAAAAATTAGCCTGCTGGATCAAAAAGGAGATTTTCATGCTTGAAACTGAATTTGAAGAGTAACCTAAAGTCACCTATTCAAATTTGTAGATGGTCTCAAATACGTTATGATAGGAATCTGAAGTGTGGGTGCCTTTTTCAAGGTTTTTTCATTGCCTTTGTTCCTTACATTGTTTATTGATCTCAAAATAACTCAAAATTTGAACACCAAGGAGTATAGATATGGGTATAACTTCTTTATCGCTTAAATTTGTAGTTTACTTTATAGAAGTTCTGTATCACTCTAATTTGTATTTTGGGTTATCAAGTGTAGCAGTTTTGTTTTGGCCACTGCTATATAAGTTTTGTTGTAACGTCGCCGCCTAGCTGCGACAAACAACGCCTCCACCTAATGACGCCACGGCCTCTGCTTATAAGCATCCTCGTTGCATCCAATATTTCTACTACTCCCACTTCAAGGTAAGTTATTTACGGTGTATTTGTGGTTTTACAAATTGATTTAGTTTTTATTTTTATATATATGCATATTATATTAATCTATTTAGGTATATATACCTAATTATCTCGTGAGCTAGAATGTGACATCTTTCAGGACATAAAATGATAAAAAGATGAGATTTAGGGTTATGTGTGGGTGGTAGAGATAATTATGTTTGTGCCACAAGAATAAAAGCAGTTGTACGGAAATGGAAATCTTTGATGGAATTGA